TTTTTTTTTTTTTTTTTTTTTGTGTCTAGTCACATATTTTTGACTTATTTATTTAATTCTTAAAAATGCTCATTTAATAAGCTCTAGCTCAATAACAAAAATATTATGCAGTGTGCTTCAAATTTCAATTTAAATTAATTTTTCAACCAAAAAAACTTATTTTGTCATAAATTATAGACGTTGAACTTAAATACAAATACATGAAATGTCTATCTTTTTTTTTTGGTTGATACAGATTTAGTATTTAAAACTTGATGGTAAACATGTCGTCACTTGTAAGTAGCAACTAATTATATCAAGAAATATGATGACCGGCAACATTTTGTGAGTCACTAAAAGAAATATGATGACCGGCAATATAATACCTTCCTCACGGTATATATTTCCTCTTCCATATTTTCATTAGTTTTTTCTATTTTATACTTTCATTATTCATACAACTAGTGTAATTATTTCTTTATACTTCATTCCTTGATTATATTTGAATAGAGTTGTACGCTGCTACTGTCATCACTTCCTTGTCATCTGGCCACCAGACACATGGCAGATTCAGCACCCCTCATTCGTATCAGAGCCACTCTTCGGTAGAATCGCTCTCGAATCTCACACATCTTCCGCGATTGGAACCAGCCTGTTGATTTCCTCACTGGCATCAGGTCCTCCATCCCCTAGAGACGCATTTTCTACCCTGACGATATTCCTTTCCGCTTCTGAACCCTCATATGGATGGACCAGATGAGATACCCTTCATTCAGATTTGTGTAGTCGGCCTTATCTTTTGGCGCATCTGCACACTGTGATACAGGCTTCTTCACCGGGACTCTCCCCAGACCAGGATCTATTATTTTTGTCTCGCAGCAGTTGCCAGTTTTTCACTTTATATTTTCTTGCTTTTGTTTTTGGTTTTCTGTTTGACTTGATGTGAAGTGAATAAGATTCACCCGGGCTCCTTCAACTCGAACCGGCCTCCGTACCTGCAGAACCCAACGCCGGGGTGGCCCCGGCGTCGGGCCTCCGATGCTTAAGTCAGTGCTCAGATCAAGAGAGAGAAAGTGTAGTAATGTAATGAGGAGAGGATCATAATGAGGTACCTTGGCCCCCCTTTTATAGGGGGAGTGTACCTTTGTGGGCTCAAGATGAGCTTGGCCCATAATGTTGGGCTTGGACGTCTTAGTGGGCTTATCTTCCAAAATGTATCCGCTTTATCCATTTAACCGGGTCCAGTATAATATCCTATATCATCTAGTCCCCCCCACTCTGGTCGAGTAAGCATAACTCGATCCAAGAGTGAAATGCCTCTTCGAGTTGTTTTCTTCAACTTGTCACTAAGATCGAGCATCGCAAGTCGAATAACCATTGAATAACCACTGAAATATCCTCCAAATGAGCTTTGAGATCCCAAGATCGAAAACCAAAAGACCACGGAGGTCGGAAACTGAATGATCTGATATCGGGGTCAAAAACCGAATGATTTGTCACTAAGGTCAAAAACCGAGAATCGAGACCGCGGAGGTCGAAAACCGAGAGTCGAGACCGTGGAGGTCGAATATCGAGAGTCGAGACCGTGGAGGTCGAAAACTGAGAGTCGAGACCGCGGAGGTCAAAAACCGAGCGTCGAGACCGTGGAGGTTGAATATCGAGTGTCGAGACCATGGAGGTCGAATATCGAGAGTCGAGACCGTGGAGGTCGAATATCGAGTGTCGAGACCGTGGAAGTCGAATATCGAGAGTCGAGACCGTGGAGGTCGAATATCGAGAGTCGAGACCGTGGAGGTCGAAAACTGAGAGTCGAGACCGTGGAGGTCGAATATCGAGCGTCGAGACCG